TGTATTGCAGATGGACTGTGGAATCCAAATGCAAGACTAATTCCTTGTTTGACTCCTTCCCGTGGCTCAACCAGTCTCTCTCTTACATGTGGCCATGTTTTATGTTACAGATAGTCCTCGACTTACAACAGTTCGTTTAGTGACCATTCCAAGTTACAATGGCACTGAGAAAAGCGACCTATGACCGTTGCAGCATCCCCGTGATCATGTGATCAAAATTCAGATGCTTGGCGGCTGGTTCATCTTTATGACGGTTGCAATATCCTGTGTTCACATTATTCCCCTTTTGCCACCTTCTGACAAAGCAAACTTCATGGGGAAGCCAGACTCACTTAACAACCGTGTTACTAAGTTAATAATTCCCTTAAGAAATGTGGCAAGAAAAGTTGCAAAATGGGGGCCAAGCCAATTTCTTACTTAGCAAACATAAATTTTGGGCTCAATTGTGGTTGTAAGTCAAGGACTATCTGTAATTGAGACTCACTCAGTTTTGCATTGAACCTGATGCACTGGTGGGACCCCTTGCAAAGAATACTGAGAAAGACCCCACCCTACAAAAGGGATCCGTTCAAATTTACACATGTCAGAAAGGAAGAGCATAAGCAACAGATGATGTAAGCATACATATTCATAGGTAAAGGATCTCCAGTTACTGTGTAGATCATGGATCTCAGATTACTTCCTCCACCTGCTTATCTTCAAGACAAGGAAAAAGAATAATAAGGAATAAGACAAGAAGGAAAACATCTCCCATAAATCAAGAAAAGAGGGCAATTAAGAAACGGGTGGAAGCCGGAAAGAAAGCAAAAACCTTGGCACTTTGAGGCCTAATTTATGGAAATCGTTCTACTAAGATAAATGGTTGTGCTTCAAAAAAAAAAAAAAACCCGCTTTTATCTCTTGCATGATAACAGGCTGCCCCTTCAAAATGCTTATATCTCTTAATCAATTCTATTCATCTAAAGGAATAACAGAGTTGGAAGGAACCTTGGAGGTCTTCAGGTCCAACTTCTGCTCAAGCAGGATATCCTATACCATTTTAGACAAATGGTTGTTCAATCTCCTCTTAAAAACTTCCAGTTGGAGCACCCACAACTTCTGGAGTTTAACTGTTGCACTAATTAATTGTTCTAATTATTCTAACTTTCTCCTTAGTTCTAGGTTGGTTCTCTCCTTGATTAGTTTTCATCCATCCATTGCTTCTTGTCTTGCCTTCAGGCACTTTGGAGAATAGGTTGACCTCCTCCTCTTCTTTCTGGCAGTCCCTTAGATATTGGAAGACTGCTCTGATGCCACCTCTAGTCCTTCCTTTCATTAAACTAGATATCCTCAATTCCAGCAATTGTTCTTCATATGTTTTAGGCTCCAGTCCCCTAATCATCATTGTTGCTCTTCTCTGCACTCTTTCTAGAGTCTCCACATCTTTTTTTTTTTTTTACATTTTGGCCTTATTTCCACAAAGAATCCTCCTTTTACACATTTGAGCCTCTTTGCGTGAGTTGGGAGTGACTCCCTCTTCTTTGGGGCAGCCCCTGAGATATTGGAATACTGATATCATGTCACCCCTAGTCCTTCTTTTCATTAAACTACACATACCCAATTCCTGCAACCGTTCTTCATATGTTTTAGGCTCCAGTCCCCTAATTATTTTTGTTTGGTCTTAAAACTGATTTTTCCCAGAGGATGTTGTTTGGATGGCTTCCTTTGGGCAAAAAACAAAAAACCCCAAACTCTTTTGTTACAGCCATGTGTTTGAAAACTCCATTTCTACAGGCTTTGGGTTCAAAACTTTGAGTCCTTTCATAGTTTAGTGCTTTGGCATTAAGAAGGTCAGGGGAAGGAGGGAAGGAGGGAGGAAGGAAGGAAGGAAGATGGTGAAGAAGCAAAGCCTAAAATAGGCTTGGGTTCTTGGGAGAAAGAGAAAGAAAGAAAGAAAGAAAGAAAGAAAGAAAGAAAGAAAGAAAGAAAATGGTGAAGAAGCAAAGGTCTAAAATAGGTTTGGGTTCTTGGGAGAAAAAGAAAGAAAAAAAAAGAAAGAAAGAAAGAAAGAAAGACAGACAGACAGACAGAGAAAGAAAAAAATGGTGAAGAAGCAAAGGTCTAAAATAGGCTTGGGTTCTTGGGAGAAAGAAAGAAAGAGAAAGAAAGAAAGAAAGAAAGAAAGAAAGAAAGAAAGAAAGAGAAAGAAAGAAAGAAAGAAAGAAAAAGAAAAGAAAATGGTGAAGAAGCAAAGGTCTAAAATAGGTTTGGGTTCTTGGGAGAAAAAGATAAAGAAAGAAAAGAAAAGAAAAGAAAAGAAAAGAAAGAAAAAGGTGAAGAAGCAAAGGTATAAAATAGATTTGGGTTCTTGGGAAGGAAGGAAGGAAGGAAGGAAAAAGAAAGAAAGAAAGGAAAGAAAGGAAAGAAAGAAAGAAAGAAAGAAAGAAAGAAAGAAAGAAAGAAAGAAAGAAAGAAAGAAAGAAAGGCAGCGGCTATAACAGCAAAGAAGAGAAAAACCCTAGGCAAGAATGAAAATTAGGATAGAATCATGAATGATTTCTAAGGCCACAGAGATCAAATTTGTTGAATAAATGCATCTGCTAAGTTTACAAGGAATCCATTTCCCCATTCAAGAACCAAGAGACATTCTCCACCCCAAATCTCTTGGAATGCCCCGCTCTGTAGTTCAGGCATAGGGCTTGCCCTCATTTACCTCTGGATTAGCAAATTTCAGGAGTTGAGAGTTATGTCTTTGGATCGTGTTCAAATCAGCACCATGGACCAGTTCACGGGGTGCTACCATTTCAAAATCTTCACAGCTCATCAAAGAATGGAACATACTCTAGCATTGTGTACTGTAGTACTGCCTCCTGTTATGGGTGTGCATCCCATTTCCCAACAGCGACAGGTTTGAAGAGTTAGGTTAAACCACAGCCTGGAGCATTTCAATGACATAGGTTTATTTACACGAATACACAATAAGGGCATGTGTTGCAGGTGTGACTCGTCTCAACCTCTCTTCTCCAAGGGGACGGTTAAGCAATTGAAATTACCACAGGGAGTGAATGCATTGCTCCTTCAAACCGAATTCAGCACATCCAACCTCGGTCACCCCTGGTTAACAATAGCAATAGCATTTAGGCTTACTTTTTGCCCCATGGGTGGTTCACAGTACTCTCTGAACAGTTTACAATGTTTTGCATATTACCCCCAACAATCTGGGTCCTCATTTTATCAACCTCGGGAGGACGGAAGGCTGAGTCAACCCTGAGCCCTATCAGGATTGAACTCCAGGCTGTGGGTAGAGTTGCAATACTTCCAATACTGCATTGTAACCACCAAAGCCACCCAGGGTATCAGGAAGAAAGAAAGTTGGGTCATATCTACTCTACATGTAATATTTGAGAACTTAATACAATAGAGCTGGAAGGGGCCTTGGAGATCTTCTAGTCCAGCCCCCTGCTTAAGCAGGAGAACCTATACCATTTCAGACAAGCGACTGTCTAGTTTTTTCTTAAAAACCTCCAGTGATGGAGCATCCACGATTTCTGAAGGCAAGCTGTTCCACTAGTTAATTGTCCTCAGTGTTGGGAAGTTTGCCCTCTGATGCTTTGTAGAATAAATTGACCCTCTCTTCTTTGTGGCAGCCCTCAAATACTGGAATATTGCTATCATGTGATCCGTAATTCTTCTTTTTTCTAGATTAGCCAAACCTAAATCCTGCAGCTGTTCTTCATACGTTTTAGTCTCCAGGCCTTTGATCATCTTAGTTGCTCTTCTCTGAACTTTTTCCAAAGTCTCAACATCTTTTTTGTAGTATGCTGATTTGGCTGGGTTTTTCTAATTCTCTTGAACTGCTTTCCTAAAATGTTCCTGGCTTAAATCCATTAACTTTGATCAAATCTTTAGAGTCAGATGTAGGAATGTAAGGCCCATTGCTTTGCTAAAACCCCTAGCCCTTAGTACAGGTAGTCCTCCACTTACAACAGTTCGTTTAGTGACTGTTCAAAGTTGCAACAGCACTGAAAAAAATGTGACTTATGGCTTTGCAGCATCCCCATGATCATTCAGTTGCTTGGCAACTGGTTCATAGTTATGACCGTCACTGTGTCCTGAGGTCACACGATCCCCTTTGAACAAGCAAACTGAAAGAGAGGAGTCAGATTCGCTTAACAACCATGTGAGTCCCTTAAGGATCTCAGCGATTCGCTTAGTGGCTGCAGCAGGCAAGATCGTCAAATCGCACGTGACTGGCTTAATCACCGCCTCATTTAACGACAATGGTCCCAATTGCAGCCGTAAGTTGGTTAACTCACCCTCCCATCCTTCCATACCTCATTGGTAAAACAAGGACCCAGATCGTTGGGAGGCAATATGCTGACTTTGTAAACCTGCTTAGAGAAGGCTGCAAAGCACCGTGAAGCCGTATATAAGTTTACATGCTATTGGTATTTACCCGTATCTCATGTATGGGCCGGTTTCAAATGCAGAGACCTTTACAAGTACATGAGAGAAAAAGAAAGTGGCTAGGATTTTTCTTTTTTTCCTAACCAGATGCAACCGTGACATTTGGCAAGGTCTGAGCCTCAGTCAATTAAAAGGGGTGTGTATTTTGTTCCTGCTTCAGCCAGTGCTGGCAAGTCCTTTCCATCTGGGGAGAGTCCCCCCTTTGGCCCAGCGAGGTGGTGCTTCTTCCTCCATGCCACATGACACCTGCTACTTCTTTCAGGACCTCACTGCCTGGTTAGTGTTGCAAGAAGATAGCCTCAGCCAGCTTGGGTGGGGCTGGAGTTTCGATGCCTATGGAGTGGCTGGCACGTGGTTCTGAGTTCGCCTGTGTGTAAGACCAAGGAAGGGGAGGAGACACTGAGTCCATGGTGAGACATTGCTCCATAGGTTTATTAGCTAGAGGGAGGCACGTCAACCAAGAACATGCTTTCATCCCTACTTTAGGGATCAGAGTGTGACTATTTGGGAACGGCTCCTGGACTGGCGGGACAGTCTGCGTAGTGTCTTCAGAGCGAACAAAAGAGAGGATTGGAGATGCACTGCTGGTTGACCCGTAACTCAGGTGATACTTTGAGGCTGTAAGAAGGATCTTCAAAGGTAGATTCTTCCCAACTGCACCTGATGACGTTCTGCTTGCTTTCAATGCTTTCCTTATCGCATCTGATGAAGTCCTGCTGGGCAAAGCTCTAACTGTTGCCTCTTTTGTAGTAATGAAATGCGTGGTTTTACTTTGTATTTCAAGGGGTTGGGTGATCAGCCGAAAGGAGACTGCTACAGCTTCCCCTAACTCCCCTCATTTCCTGAGCCAAGGGAAGCTTTCCTCTGCTAAGTAATGATCCTGAAGCTGTTGGAGATACAGGAACCCTGGTTTAAAATACCTGTTAATCCCAAATTCTGAGACTCTTTGTGTGCATGAATAGCCCCTGAATCCCCTCTGCTTTTTCTTCTGTGGCCTTTCTTTTTTCTTTAGACTTTGTAGAGCTATCCCAGGGGTCAGCAACCTGTGGCTCTGGAGCCGCATGTGGCTCTTTTACCCCTCTGCTGCGGCTCCCTGTCACTCAAAATATGCGTCACAACCACCCATGTGTGACACCTGCTGGCACACAATTATTGAGCTTTTCAACCCCCTGTAGGCCAAACAACCATGGATGAATCCAAGAAAAGAAAAGTTTCAGAAGAAAACAGAATGTTTAATTCAACTACATATGCTAGTTTTGTGGCCGCTCAAGAAATAGTCAGGCATGGGAAGGATTTTGTGGCTCCTGGTGTTTTCTTTTCTGTGGGAAATGGGTCCAAATGACTCTTGAGTGTTTAAGGTTGCAGACCCCTAGGCTATCTGATCTGGCCTGAAAATTCCTAATTGAACACCAGATGGCAGCAAAGAGCAATATAAAAAAACATATACTCTGCTACCCTCAAGTGTTGAACCTGATTTTTACACTCCATGTGGAGTAACCTTGTTTTGTTCTGTAAAATGTGGAGATCATTTCGAGCAGCATGGTCAATTTAACTGTGACTGGGTTCATCGATCACTTTATACTTATTATGTGTGGTTCAACATGTTATGTCAACCCAGCCTACAGTAGCCTATTCAACAATCATGGTTTGGCAAATTACGGTTTAGGCTAACATATGAATCTTCTTTATTTCCATGTTTATCTTGCTTATTAACTTTTCATTGTTTATTTTATTGTTCTGTTATTTTACTTTTGTTCCAGTTACCCTGTTTTCTTTTCTTCATTTTTTATTGTTGTAAGCTGTCTAGAATAGCCCCCTAGCAAGATAGGCGGCAAATAAACTTAACAAATAAAAATTTAAAAATAAATTTATGCTGGGAGAAAAAAAGCAAACTGTGGATGCTTACAAATCCATAGAACCCTGGAATCATGGCTTCAAAGGGATAAGCAGCTTATAGTTTTTTAAAAATAAGAAAAAACTGTTGCTTTTTGAAGAGGAGAAGAACAGCAAACAGGTGGCCGGTGTCAGGCTATTGGTGGGTTATCTCAGTTTTTCTCAAACTTAGAAATTTGAAGATGTAAGGATTTCGACTCATGCAGGTTGAGGAATTCTGCAATTGAAGGATACCCGTTTCAAAATTGCTTATTTATCTTCATTTCTTCAGAAGCACAACTCTTAACATTTTTCTCCGGGCATCCATATGTATTAAGTTTATGGAACAAATTGTACTTTTGGCATCGGCACAGAAGCTATTTAAGAAAATAGCTTGGCAACCCTGATCCTGATCAATAATACTTATTGAGACGTAAATCATATAGGTGCCTATTTAGCAATAGAAAAAAAAAATGATTAGCAAATGATGCATTGAAGTGTTATCATCAGTTACTCTAGACTTGAGTTGAAGATTATATAACAAGGAAGTGATTTTCTTTCCAGGTGACTTTTTGTTACTGCCTTCTCTGTCTTTCCCAACAGCTTATTTTGTCAACATGTTCTGACCTAAAAGCGTCAATCAACCTCTTTGTAACTGAGCCTTTCTTAAAATCCTGGAAAGTTGAGAAGAGCTCCCACCTCAGACATGCCCCTATAGGAGAAACAATTCTCATGCTAGGACATTTCTTCAGCTTTTTTCAACAAGGGTTCCCAGATCATCCTTTAATCATTTGTTCCATGCTGATTTTGAGGTAATGTTTCTCAACCTCAGGAACTTTAAGAATTCTGATAATTGAAATCTACATATCATAAAGTTGCCGGAGTTGAGAAACAGTGTTCTAATGAATTCAGGGTGGTTCTTTAAACACCTTTTACTAACGCAGGATGTTGTGACCAGTTGCATTGTGTCCATATACCTGGAACAGGCCACTTTGATGTCATCACCACTTTGTTCTAGAGCCATGGAGATTTCAATCAGCCATGGAGATTTCATGCATAGCTTTGAACCTGTCCTTATTTATTGGCATATCTTAAGTTTACTTGGCTGATGACTTGAGCTCCTAAGCAAAGGTAGAAGATGAATGTAATAAGTGGATACATTTAAATTGGGCTAGGACAGGGGTCGGCAACCTTAAACACTCAAAGAGCCACAAAGGTCCTAACAGAAAGCCCCTGTTCAATTCTGGAGCCGACCGGAAGTCCGGTTCCCCCATCATAGTCTCCTACTAGCGTGGCATCCTTTTTCCTCTGCTGAACGGAAGTCCGGTTCCCCCACCATAGAGTTTCCTCCTAGCGCGGCATCCTTTTTCCTCTACCTGTCCTAACCAAAATCTCTATCGATGGTGGAACCGACCAGCAACAGGGAGCCACAGCAGAGGGATGAAAGAGCCACATGTGGCTCCAGAGCCGCGGGTTACTGATCCCTGGGCTAGGAATTGGGTAGTCCTTCAAATAAGTGAGGTTTTTAAGTCACATATTTGGATCATTTTCCACTGAAAATCTTTTAAGGTAAAGGTAAAGGTTCCCCTCGCACATGTGTGCTAGTCGTTCCCGACTCTAGGGGGCAGTGCCCATCTCCATTTCAAAGCCGAAGAGCCAGCCCTGTCTGAAGACATCTCCGTGGTCATGTGGCCGTCATGACTAAATGCCAAAGGTGCATTTAAAAAAAAAAATTAAAAAAACTTTTAAAAATGGGTAAAAACTGAGTGATTTTATGTTAGTTCCCACATCACATGAGTTTGTTTAACAAGCACCCAATGGCATTGGCTAGTTTTGTACAAGGAGCTAATTTATAAACTGTGGTGCTGAAAGGCACTCTAGATGGATTCCCTGAAGATACCTACCTTAGATGTTTCTATCCATCTTGATGTTTGGATGGTGCTAACCAGGGACGGGTTTCAAAACCAGTCACTACCGGTTCACTCGTGGGTGTGGGTGCGCTCGCGCGCAACACTTCTGTACATGCAAAGAAGCATCCGGGTGTGTGGGCGGAGCCTCTTGCTACCGCCACTGCTACAAATTCGCTCGACCCGGGATGAACCGGTAGCAACCCACCACTGATGCTAACCCTGTGGTCCTTTAGAAAGCCTTTAACTTGGTTATTCTCCCTGGGCACTGAGGCCAGGATGAGTAAAGTTTCCTTTGGGAGAAGGTATGAAAATGAGACAGGTCACTCCTTATTGATTACTGATTACTATTGAATATTTTTGACTCGGCTTTGTTTTCTGTTGTAAGTTGCCCAGAGTTCCTTTGCTTATGTTGAGGGGGCCACATAAATTCTCCAAACAATTAAGCATGCTAAGCTCACCTCTGTCGCTTTGTGATTTTATGGGCTGGAAGAGGATTTAAACAGTCAGGAGTACACCTTGTAAGATTTCTTTTAATATAATGAATGATTGTTATCTGTATAAAAGTGTAAATTAATAAAACAACACTCCTTAAAGCAGTGTTTCTCAACCTTGGCAAGTTTAAGATTGTGGACTTCCAGAATTTTCCAGCCAGAAGATATGAGGACTTTGAGTGCCAGAATTTTGGGAGTTGAAATCCACACATCTTAAAATTTCCAAAATTGGGAAACACTGCCGTAAGGAATAGTCAGACTATTGTCATCTGGTAGAAGCCATGATACCTTCAAAATGAGGTTGCATGATAATAATAGTGTGACGTCATTGCAGATGATTGTGATTCTGAATATAAAATGTGAATGTCCAATGTTAACATCAGATCATATCCTTGTTCCCCATCAGGATTCTTAGGAAACAAAGATTTCTATAAAAAAAAATGAAATCTATCTATCTTAGCACATAGATGAGACAAATGTCATGTTGTACACCCACATCAGATCTTGTGGAAGAGTCAAAGATTTCCCTATATGGTCTGTGCATCAGTTTCCTGTTCATTCTGAAATATTTCTGTAAAATAAAAGCCACTATGTTTTGTCCTATCTTGAGGCTTTGCCTCAGGACAGTCACAAGTGACTGAAAAACACCTTAACATTTCCAGAATTGCAGCACAAAATCCTAGAAGGGCATCTTGACTAACCGTGATACTTTAATAGTACAAAACCATTAAATCTATAGGAGAACTAGAGAGTAGAAACAAGTAGAAAGTTAGTTTGGTGTAGTGGTTAAGGTGCTGGCCTACAAATCAGAACTCTGTGAGTTCTAGGCCTGTGTTAAACATGAAAAATGGCTGGATGAATTTGGGCCAATCACTAGGAGACCGTGAGTTCTAGTCCCGCCTCAGGCATGAAAGCCAGCTGAGAGACGCTGAGCCAGTCCAACCCACCTCACAGGATTGTTGTGGGCAAAATAGAAGGAGAAAGGAGTATTAGATATGTTTTGTCCCCTTGAGTTACTTATAAAATAATAAGAGGCAGGATAAAAATGATAAACAAACAAACAAATAAATAGCCCCATTCAGATAAGTCTATTTGATGGATAAAAATGTTTCCCTGTTAATCCATTAATTTAACCAATTAATCAACGCAGTGTAACACAGGACTACCATTTCTCAGTTGCAAAAGTCTAGATGCTCACCAGATAGCAAAAAAAAAAGTTAGTTTTCAGAATCTCATCTAATTTTTGCAGTCTTTATATATAGTCCCTATGCAATACCTCCTTTTTTACGACACTGTAGTACCTATTCAGGGTAGAGTCAGGGCGACTGAAC